AATTCCTTCTAAATACATAATGTATCTAAGAACAGCACTTCTTTTCAGCCACTGCATAGCAAAGATCTAACTTGCACTCTAGACTGGAGTTTAATCAAATTGCAGAGATACAATTTTAAAGAAAAAGAGCTTTCTTGCAAAATCAGCTTTGCATTTCTGGATGAGATCTCCCCATTAAAAGACAAAAGCTAGACAGAAGATTCAACACCTCTGAAGCTTCCTATTATTTGGACAATAGCAACAGTGTTAATTCATGAATTTACAGGTCATGAGTGTGGGGCACTGAGAAAAACTGTGCTATCACTTTAAATTTTATGAAGTCTCATATCTCCTGCATACAGGCCAAAGGAATCTGCTTTTAATTTTAGTTAGATTCAGTTAAGTTCCCTCTGTGCTAGTTGGCTTTTACTGTTATTGGGAGCTATTGTTCTGTTATTTAAAAAAAAAAAAAAAGGGTAGTGTCACGGAAGTACTCAAAGCTTGAATTGGACAGAAGTGTTTCCACAAACATCGAGGCCTTTGGACTGCCCCTAAATGCATTGTAATTGGATGAGCACATACAAGAGTTATTAAGGGTATGCATGGGATGACTAGAAGTAAACAGTTAAGTCTAAATTGTTTTGTGGACTCCTCCCAATTCCACAAAATATACCACCTTTGAAAAGAAAAAACAAAAACAAAAACCAGTGTAACATAGTGACTGTAAATTGAGCAGCACAATTTTTTTTTTTTTTAACGTAGTTCTAGGCAATAAAAATAGACTGACCTTCCAACGCTGCAAGGCTGACCTTTACCGTGGGGTGCAGCTAATGATTTCAGTGGTGGGAGGCCTGGAGCATCTGTCCCAGGTATTCTGCAATATAAAGCAATGGTAAGGGCTGCCTGGTGGCAGCAGTTCAGGTGACAGTATTCTTCAAAACAAGAGTGGCGGTTTGGGGTTGGTTTTTTTTGGTGGGTTGTTTTTGTGGTGTTTTTTTTAAACCACCTTACCTCTTGGTCAAAGGCAGATCCCCGGGGTTTGCAGCCTTGTCCACATACTATATATAGCACTTAAACCCTAGCTGACACCATGTTTTTTTCTACAGCGCAGCCTATCAGAAAGGCGGGAGGCGGCGGGCTCCTGCCCGCCCCGGCCCCTCCGCCGG